GAGAAAAAGTAAAAAGGGGGAAACTGTAGCCTGGCATGTACCCAGGTGACTCCTTGCACCTGAGAAGCAGAAAGAGTATTGGGAAAGAATGGTCACCCCGAGGATATGGGATGATTGCGGTCATCACAAAAAGCCCGTTGAGGAGCCTGTTCCTTCAAACCCTTCCTGCCCTCTAGACAGCAGGGTGTTCGGATCCCCCTGGGCAGACTCCACAGAAAGAACGTAAAATCTCAAACTGGAGGTCCCCATGCCTGGCTGCCCAATCTGGCCCTGTGGCCTGGGGGGGGGGGCTCTGTGCTGGCCTCTGATGGGTGGGGCGAACAATTACAGGTCTGGAATGTCTGTTAAGAGGAGCAAATGCCACAGTGCACGTGGGAGCACTTGGCACATCACAAAGCCGTGTGTCCAACTTGTTGATTTCTGTCGTGACTCAAGCAGAGGGGAGTGGACAGGCCAAGGGAGCAGGGAGAGGTTGCAAGCAAGGGTTCATGTGAGGAGACTGGGCTCACTAACGCTATTACACCCAGATTTTCCGATCTAAACAACCAACTTCAGCCGTGAGTTCCCATCATGGAAAGTTTCTGTGAAATGATCCATGATAAAAATGGGTTTGGGAATGATCCACGTGGATGCCGGGGACTTTGCCTGGCTTGGAATGTTCTCCTACAGAAAATCAGAACCGAGTCACGACCTGAGGAGACATGGTATGGCAGCTGCGTCTGTGGACCCTCATTGCTGACCCTCTCTAGGTAACAGAGTGCCACCTTAACTCCTGCACAGACCCACACATAGAAGAGAGCCTTAAATGACTCTTGGGGTCCTAATGGCGTCCATGGCACCAGTTCCTTAGGAACAGAGAGCTCTTACCAACCCGGAGCAGATTCACTTCTTTTTTGGCTGTCAGGAAGAGTGAAATCTACCCCACTGGTCTCAACTTCAAAGCCTTTCTTTGGTACCACACGGTGATGGATGACGGGGAAGGCATAGCAGGCAGGGATAGATAGGGGGAATAAATGAAGCAAGAAGAAGAAGAAATGGCTCGATTCTTGATGCCCAGCACACTGGTGACAGCCAGACATGGGGAGGGATTGGCTTGGGGTCAGGAATCCTAGTTACCAGACCTGGAACTAGAGTGAGACCCCCAGAGAAGGGGAAGCTGGCAGTCCCCTGTAAGTGACATGCCAGGGAGGCGTGCAGAGGACAACACGGGCCAAGGCTGGGTCTGAGCCCCCCAGCCATCCCTGGCTCCAGGGAGGCCGGGGGGGGGGTGCTACTGGGCAGAGCACCACCTCCCTAGCTGGCTGCCTCCTCTAGATCTGCTTTCACTCCCCCACCCCCAGTTTTTCCACAAATTCTCTTTGGCCTTGGGGTGATTTTTCCAGCATTCCATCTAGTTCTATATGGCACCAAAACGGGCAGCCTCGGTGGCAGAAGGCTGGCTGTGTATATGTGTGTATGAACACATGGGTGTGCCTCAGGGGCCGGTAGGTTATGGGGTGATGGGGTGAGAGAAGAAGGAATTAGCACCTTGAGTCCAGCAACCCCAGTTCTTTCTCCAGACATCTACAAGCTAATCAGAGCTAGAGAAGTCTGGGGCCTGGAGGGGCCAAAATGCCCGTCTTCCCCCAACTTCATAATGCTCTGGAAGGAATAAGAGAAGATGACAGGTAACGGAAGAGTCTTAAGCCGAGAAGTAGAAATCAGTCTCCTTCCCCCCAACCCCCTTATGCCCAGCTGGGACCCAAGCCCATTCTCCCTAGAGAGTAAGGGCAGAATGCAGAGACAAAAAGCCTGCCCGGAAGACTTTGGGGTACGGCGTGCCATCGCTCCGGGGTAGGGGCACAGTGCTGGCAGTCCTATTTTTTTTTCTGTGTGCCAAGGAACTTTCTCCTGGGGGATTAACAGAGCCCTCCTGCCACCCCATCTGGCTGGTACTGGAGCCAGAACACCACCCTTGGCTGCCAGCCAGCCTGTGTCTGGGAGCCAGTGCTCCCTCAGAGACTTGCAGGCATGTTGCTGGGGCCTTAGGAAAGGGGGAGGGTGGTAGAGACCTGTGAGGAGTCCCTGGGCCACCCAGCTGAGAAGGACTGACTTTGAAACAGCCTGTCCCAGCCCCTGGCCTGAAGCTGGTAATGGACAGGAGAGTTTGCTCTCTCTCTCTGTCTCTCTCTCTCTCCCTCCCTTCCTCCCTCCCTCCTCCTCTTTTCTCCTGAAGATAGTAAATATACTACTGATCTATAACTTGGATGACAGTATGACAATTACAGAGACAGTGGGTTCAGTCTTTAAAAAAACAGATCACCAATTAGAAAGTCTGACCCCGAGCCAAGGGATGGAAGTGCTTCAGGACCACGGTGGGAGGGGACCAAGATGACAGCAGGATCTGCATGCCAGGTTTCATGGGGTGCAAAGAGCCGATACCCAGCTTGGCAGATGCCTTTTTCCTTTCTTTCCTCCGGTACTGAAGGCTAACCCTAGGCTCGGAGGCACGGTGGTGAGGCCCTGCCGCTGACCTCCAGCCTGCCCTCACAGAATTGTCCTGACACCGTGTAGCCCAGGAAACAGTAAAACAGCCTCAGTCTGTCGTTAGGGAATGGGAAGGTCAGTGACTGCCAGGCACTGGGTGAGTGGAAGCCAGAGAAAATTTAGCAGCCAGACAGTCCCCAAGAAGGGAAGAGAGGGCAGCCACCTGCAGAGACTAAGCCATTCCACCCTCCATGAGAGGAATCTCAGGAACAGAGCAGTGACTAAGTGAAGAGAGTAAACCAGATATTCCGTCCCAGGAGGGGCCTCTTTTAAAGCCTCAGGACCAAACACTGAGAGTGGCCCCCAGCAACTCTCATGCATATGGTCCCCAAGGCAGTCATAGCCTATACTTGTCTCTCCCTGTGTCCTTCTCTGTGCTCCCCTAAGTAAGCAAACAGCACTCAGGCTGCACTCTGTTGGCAAACACCTCCAGCTTAGCAACCTCCCCCAGAATAAGTAAACCCTGCCCCTGCACGCTCACTCCTCAAGCCCACTCAAGCACACTCAAGCACACTTGCTCATGTTCTGAGCTGGAACCCGAGACTGCTCCCTGTCCCCACACAGCCCCTGTTCCCCTCCCCACAGTCCCAGCCTCAAACAGGCTAGACCCCAAGCTGTGACTGACACTGTCACTTTCTTCTGGGGTGGTGTGACAACCTGGCACCTCAGGTGCAAAATAAATCCACGGGCTGCAGAACGACGACGTCTCTCTTCCAAGAACCATTCATTCTGAAGTGAACGCCAGAGTAAGACTCTAGACCTTTAGAATGCTGCGTAACTGAGGGAGTCTGAGACTGTATACAACTGATTCAGGTAGTAAAAATCCTGCGAGAAATGTGGCTGTCCTCAAACAAACTTTTAAAGGACAAATTTTGCAGAGCCTGGAATTAAAAGCCTCCCAGTTTTACAAACAGCTTCTCCAGTCTGGTCTTTGGATCACTCCCATGGCTGTGTCTCTTTGTGGCTGGGATCGGTGAAAGGGGAGAGGTGGTTCGTCAAGATGGAAGATACATTCTTCACTTAATACTTTTTCAAGGCTGGAGAGATGGCTTAGTAGTTCATAGCACTTATCACTATTGCAGAGGGCCCAGGTTTGGGTCCCACAACCCACATGAGGCAACTTACAACCTCCCTTAAGATCAGTTCTAGGAGACACCACACACACACACACACACACACACACACACACACACACACACGCACACAGAGAGGGGGAGAGGGAGAGAGGGAGGGAGGGAGAAAGAGAGAGAGAGACTAAATAAAATCTTTAAAATGTTTTTATTTACTCTTTGAAATCGCCGCACATTCATATAATGTATTTTAGCCATATACATCCACCATTGCCTCCCTCCGGTTTCCCTTGGTGTTCCACACTCTCCCAACTTCACATCCTCCTCTTTTCATTGTTTATTACTATTTCTCTGACTCCAGTTAGTGCTGCTTGTAAGTGTATGGGTGTGGAGCTCTCCACGCCTGCTGGCAGCCGATAGTTAGGTCTACTGAGCTCTGGAATGACATTCTCAACAAGTCCCCACTGGCATGGGGAGTTTCCCAGGATATGCTTTTGTCTTCTCCGAGGAAAGGGGTGACTTCTTGTGACATCCAACTCACAGACTAAGCGCCAGTAGCCTCCCACCTGCAAGTCAGATGGGAATACCGGCTACCAAGGACCTGCTCTGTGGGGGCAACTATAAGGCAGTCACCGTAGGCCAGAGACCCTGGAGGCTGAGCCAGGGCTGTTTATTGACACAGGATGACTGAGGTGGGTAGCAGTGGTGTTTAACCCAGCGCTGAAGCCCAGAGGAAGACAAGCAGAATGTTTCCCCAGTAGACAGGCCAGGATTGGGCAGAGCAGTGTGGAAGCCTTAGTACCTGGCATATCTGGTTTCAGAGCTCAGATTTTCTCTTATTAGCTGTGTCTCTGGCGATTTGCTTGTTTCTGTCTCCAAAGTGGAGAAAATGCCCATCTCTTGTGATCGCTGTAAATATCAGTGCAATAACATATTACGTCCCTAGCACTAGCACTGTCACCTCACAGGGATTGACAGGTATGGCATAATTTACATACACTCACACACTCACACACATACCTTTAGTCATAGGGGAAAGTATATTTTCTAAATTGAAACAGGATTGTATGTAGTCAAGTACACTATAATAAAATATTTGCAAAACTGAGACATTTCCATTTCAAGCAGTTGTATTATTGTCTGGATTAATCTGGCCTCTACATATTTCTGCAGTCCAAGCCTTAATTATTAATAACGACATATTAATATAATGTAGTTTACCCTTACCATTCGTAAGGAATTAGTTCCAGGCCCTAAACAGATACCAAACTCTGCAGGTGCTCCAGTCATTTAAGAAAATCGGAGTGGTATTTGCATATAAACTATGCATATCCTTCCATATAAATTAAATCATTTCTAAATTACCTTTAATTACCTAATAAGATGCAAATGCCAGATAGATAATTGTTTTACTGTATTATTTATGGAATCGTGACAAGAAAAAAGTATGTTCATATTCAGTACTGGTGCAGTTTCCATCTTGAAGTTGGTGAAGCTTCGGACACAGAACCTGTGGACCAAAAAAGGACAGTATTGTAGTCAAATACAGGTGACCTTTAATATAACAATAAAAGCAGAGTGCCATATTGCTTGTGTTAGTCAATAATTGCATTGTACCTTTGTCAGGATAAAAAGCTAACAGTGACCACGCAGAAGGCCCACTGAGCAGGCCTGACATGGAATTGGAAATCAGGCGTGTCACTCAAAGGGCAGGACGGGTGTGAGGGGTGAGGAGACAGCAGGGGCTGTCACCTGGATTCTTCCGTTTCTGTGTCCCTCCTAACTGACACTGTGGGCCTTCGCTGAGGTCACGTTCCTTCTCTGTTATTCCTGGCCGCGTGCCATGTGAGCTGCCGTCAGTATCAGCAAGCATCGGGGCGTACATTCAGTGTGAGGAGACTCAGCAAGACACCAGTGCTAAGATACACAGAGGTCCACAGATACACACCGAGGTACACACTGAGGGTCGCGGAAGAAGTCAGTTCTGAACCCAATCCCAAAACCAGGCCTGCTCCCTGGGGCTGGAAACCCAATCAACCGCTAGGTAACCAAGTGTGGGGAAAAAAAACAAACAAACAAAAAAAAAAAAAAACAAGCATGAAGAGTGTTGCCGATTGCAAGTCTGCCTGGGTAGGAATTGGTCACACAGAACACACAGCGACGAGCCAAGGTCGAAGAGCTAGGAAGGATCTGAGGAGCCACTTTGATAAGGGATTGAAGACCAGCTGAACTGGGAATGCCGGCACTTGGCCAAGTTCTGCCTCCAGGTCTAAGTTGATGGGTAAAGGTTCACCGGAGTACTGTACGGACAGGGCTGTGGAGACAACAGATAAGGCAGCTCCTGCAACCTCCACCTAGAAACCCCTATTCCAAATCCATATCAGAGCAAGTGACTGAAAATAGCTAATTATCCTCACAGTTAAGTATTTACAGCCTTTCTGCGCCATGGGACAGACACTCTCCCAGCACTCAAGGCAGAGGCTTGAACTCTGTGAGTTCAAGGCCAGCCTGGTCTACAGAGTGAGTTCTAGGACAGTCAAGGCTACATAGAGAAGCCCTATTTCGGGGGGTGGAGGAAGTTGCCTAGCTTCTCTCTGCCTCAGCATTCCCATCTTTATTATAGGGATAATGACGCTTAGCTAATAGGGTAATTGCAGTTGTGTGAACTAAATGGCGTCATAGATGCTAAAGTGCTGAGCATTTGGTCTGGCCTTAAGGAAAGTATACAATAAAAGTTAGGCATTATTACTAATTAAACAGTAATTGACTGTCTATTCTAGGCCACACCTTATGCTTCATGTTAGAGATGAAAAGATATGAGCACTGCTCTCAAGGAGTTTAGACCTTTAGGGTGGGGCAGGGGTTCCTGCCTCCAATGAACAGCTGTAGTAAATTATGATATTTCCACAGCATGGAGCACAGCAGGGCACGTGGGAGAGAGCTTATACTAGCTTGTCTTGAGAAACCAGGAACTGCTTCCAGGAGGAGATAAGGTCTGAGCTGAGCCTGGAAAGAGGAATAGAGTTTTCCTGGAAGACGAGACAAGGAGCAAAAACTAAGACCAAGAGCCATGGGAACCTGCTAGGAGTCAGAATGAAGAACTGCAGAGTGGCTGCGGCTTGGACAGGAGGCATGAAGAGGGAGACTGATGGTGTGATGGCTACTCTCGATTGTCAACTTGACTGACGTGAGAGATGCTCAAGAAGTTATTTCTGTGTGTTTCTGAAGATGCTCCCATGGGCAATCATATGTGGGACAGCATCTAAGGTAGAAGACCCATCCTGAATGTAGAAGGTGGCACCAGTCCCCTGTCCCCGGATAGAGCAAGCTAACAGAAGAAAGCTTGTCAGCATATCCAAACTCGAATCTTCTTGAGATCTATTGCCACCACCACCACCTGTGACTCTAGCTCCTTCTGTCTGAACATGGAGTTCCATCAGTGATTCTCCAAGGCCTTCTAAATACCCAGCCTTGGGCAGTATCACTGGTCACTCTTGTTCTGAGGCTTCCAGCTTCTTGGACTGAGTAGCTAGTAGCTTCATTGGCTCTCTAGCCTGCAGGTGGCCATTGTGAGCCGACTTACTCTCATCCTATGTATACATATATTTACGTAATCATAACCCTTTAAAATCACATAAAGAGATTAGATGGGGACCGAGGTGTAAAGGATTCTTATCTGCTGTGTTGAAGAATTTTCCTCTTTTCTGTGAGTGATGAGAAGCCACGGAAGAATCCTAAGGAAAGGAACAATGGGAGAGTTTTGTGGTAGAGAACACCGCTCTAGCTGCCATGTGTAGAATGGATTAGAAAGGTTAAAACCAGCTGGAGGGAATCAGGTAAGAGACTAGAGCAACGGCGAGAAGCAAGAGCCTGAGGAAGGAGGCAGGACTGGGGATGGGCAGTGAAGATGGATGCTTCAGTAGTGACGCGAGCAAGGCATGGTGAATGACTGAATACTGGGGGGAAGGGAGGAAACTTCTATCAGATGAGATCTTCACAGAAAGTATATAGAAGTATACATGCTGATATGAGTGAATTTATGCCTTATGAATCCTGTTAAAGGTGGCCGTCAAGAGACATTGGCTAGGCGTGCAGATCTGGATCTGTGGGCTTGGGGGTGTAGCTGGGACAGAAAGAACTGTGTCATGTAAGAAGAGACAGTAGTGTTAGAAAGTCAGGGTCAGCTCTCAAACATCCCAACCAATGTGTGTGGCTCTAGTAGAGATGGGAAGATACCAGGAGACTGAAAAGAATCCCCCAAAGTAGCAGGAAAACAAAACCCAGAAAAGGTATCCTGTCAGGATGGAAGGAAAGCCAACAGGGGCGAATGCCATTGACAACTGCAAAGACCTGAGACTTTGTTCCCTGATGACTTCAGCTGTTGATGGCGCCAACCCATGCCAAACCACTGTGAGGGTTACAAGATGAAAGGAGAAAATTCAGAATATTCTTTTGAGAAACTTGGCTCAGAGGTAAACTGACTGGAGGGGAAGGAAAGTTTTAATGTTTTTTTAGTACGGAAAACTCGTCAACGTATGTATATGCTGAGGAGAAATGGAGTCTAATGGTTCAGAAAAACAAAACAAAACAAAACAAACAAACAAAAACAGAGTAAGGTGTCCCCAGGTAGGATAGCAAGACATGTTACCTCTGCCTGAAATGTCATCTCTTAGGTTTGGCTCACCCAGGAAATACAAGGACTCTGAGATTTTCATGGGAACCAGTAGGGTACCACCATCTTGGGAATACCTCTTGTGAGGGAACAGAAAGAAGAAGTCAGAGGCTCTGGTGAAGCAATAAGGTCTAGAATAGCTTTGGGTGACAAATAGGAGTCACATGATAGGATCACTATATCTTCTTGAGACACCAATAAAGACCAGATGTCATAAATTTGTGGTGTCACCAACTTCTCAGCAGGGTTATTTTCCTCAGTAGGGCTCAGCCTCCCAGAAGTAAAACCAGAAGAATCTGGGGGAGGGAGAGGTTTGCATTTGTAGGTTCTGGCATGCTTCCTGTCCCGAGGTAGGCCTAGGGAGGGGCCTGTAGGTCATGCCTCTACTTGTAACTTCCTTTTCTCTCTCAGGGTTGCTATTTATCAAACCTTGGCTAATACAGCCATCCAAATGTTAAAACAAAAAACAAAAACAAGCACATATCAACTCATTCCCAGAATCAAACTTCAGAATGATTTAGAGATTAATGAGTCAGATACATATGGCTTAAATTTTCCTCTAACTACACACTCCATTAGAAAAACCTAGGCTGGGATTTGGGATTGATGGGTCCCATTTGGGACACCCAAGTTGTAAGAAAGGGAATAAAATGTGTGTTCATTTTCTAGTCCCAGAGCTTCACACAAAGTTCTGAAAACTTCTGCTAGAGGCTATGTAAATTGTTAAGACTACAGAGCACCAGAATACCAGGACACATTCCTAGGAGGCAAGACTTGGGCACCCAGGTAACAACCCCAGGGCAAGTTCACATGGAGCCATCCCAGAGCACAGACTGGCTTTGCTGTCTTCATTCACTCCTCCTGTTTAAGTGAGGAGCAGCCTGAGGCCACTAGGAAAATGCCAAAATGAAGGTGGGCTCCAGGTAAGTTTAGATTGCTTCTTTAGTTCTCCAAACAAGGCTAGGTAATGGATGCTTTCCTTGAGTTAGTGAATTTAAGGTGAATGTGAAAAAGACAGTGAAGAATCCAGGGGCCTAGAGAGATGGCTATTGGTTAAATAGGCTTACTGCTCTTGCAGAGGACCAAGTTCAATTACCAACACCCACATCAAGCAGCCCACGAAGACCTGTAACTCCAGTTCCATCGGATCTAATGCCTCTGGCCTCCATGGACATCATCACTCATGTGCATAAACCCACATACAGGCACACATGCATGCACATAACTTACAACAAAACACATTAAACAAAAATAAAGACTCAACACAGGTAGTCCTTCGTGTGACTCGGATGTCAAGGAGGTTAAATGTCTTGTGTCCTGTGCCACCCACTGAAAGATTAAAAGCTTGAATTGGATGGCAACAGCTAATCTCTCGTCTTCAGACCTTCCTCTCCTCTCTAGGTCTAGGTCCTAGGCCTCTTTCATGCTCATCTTTCTTCTTCTCAAAAGACATAAGGACTCTGGTAAACTAAAATGATGACTTTTTCTTCCACGTGTTGCTGGAACTTTGGGCAGTTCTCTATGCTTCCATTAATTCATTAAGCAAACAACCATTGACACTAATTTCTTTTCACCACTTTATCTAGAACAGGGTGAAGAGACACATAGCAATCTCCTACAGAAAAGGAAGTTTACCAAAGGCCCAGGGATCAAAGGATTGAATAAAAAACAATAGGCTTAGGGGTTGGCTAACTGTGAACCTCCCCAACTCCTAATCTGCCACCTACTGAAGTCTCTTGTCTCTCACTTCCCATATTATTCAGGCCAAAAGGAGGGAATGACCCACATCTTGACCACATGGCGATGGTGGAGATGGCCAAGGCAATGAAGCTTCTTGTCAGGTGGCAGTAACTGGCAGCTCTCCACGCCTTGATCTCAAGGTTACATCCTCTCGAAGGAATGATGATGGCAGCCAGAAAGAGAGCCTTGAAGCGGAAAGCTGGAACTTTGGGGCTGGATGGGGCTCCACAGCAGCTGTCCTGCAGATGGAGAAGAGCCTTTAAGTCTTGAGTTTATATTTCTAGAAAAGCTCCCTTCCCCCAATCCCTCTCTGCTCTCTTTCCCTCTCTTGCTGTATTATGGGGTTTTTGTGAGGTTTAGAAAAATAAACAGAATCTAACCATAACTGTCTGAAAGTGCTAAATTACCAAGAAAGGCACAACAGATTAGCAGTGCAAATTAAGCCTGAGTAGGAGATGGCCGGTACGCTGGGGAGTTGAGAAAAGCCCACAAGAGTAGTGGTTTTCCGGTCCTGGTTCGCCCTCTGGGAGGGGCTGCTTCTGTAGACTGCAGGCTGAGTCTAACTGTCTAAGAGACTTGGGCTTACAAATGGGGAGGGCCTAAAAGAGGCCATTCCCTTGTGTGTGTAAAGATCTGACCAAGGCCATGTAGCTCATCTGTGGCTTTCAGGTAGGACTGTCCCTCATTGATCCTGCTGCAGTTGAACCTCACCTCCGATTTAAGGAACAATCCTGGATGAACATGAAGGTCAGTAGGTGATTAGTATAAGCCAGCACAGGAAGGTGAATACTCCATGATTTCTCCTATATGTGAAAAATTTGGAAAGTCAAAGTCAAAGAAACAGGGAATGAGATGGTTAACAGTGACTGGGGACAAGAGGCACCGAGAAGATGCCAGCCAAAGGACAGGAGGGAGACGTTAAAGAGATCAGTTTTAAACCATAGTGATGACAGAAGCAATATATTGTACACTAGAAAACTGCTCCAAGAGTAGAGTTCAGGTGCCCTTACCACAGCCCAAAGTGTGAGGTCATCTGTTTGCTGGTACCTAGATCCAGTCATTCTGTAATCTATACATGTGCCAGAGCATCATGTTATGCACACACCAGAAAATATGGACAGTGTTTACCTGTCAGCTAAAAAGCAAAGGAAATAAAAAGGGACAACTTTTATCTGCCTTCTGGGAACCTATTGGTGGGGACCAAGGGACTAAACTCACTTTATTAGTGGGCATTGAAAAAAATGTAGAGTGCAGGTCCAGGCTTTCGATTGACAAGTGAATGAACTCAGACTCGTGAAGAACAAGATCCCTCAGCCAGTGAGCAACAGAGCTGAGAGCCCAGCTCCCCAGAATGCGAGGGCAAATGTATGCTTCTAAATCAGATACCGGCAATCTTTCCAGCTAAGAAGCCAATTCCCCCTTTCCCACTATTTTCCATTGAGTCATGAATTTGCGTATGTGCGACTAGTCAGCAGCCATAGCTTCTATGGCTTTAAAGTCCCCATACCGTAATCTTAAGGTCTCTATAGTTCAAGTCCATAGTTTATACTTACTGAGCCCTGTTATTTGTCAGGCAAAGTGTTAACTACCAATAACTCAAAGGTGAATAGACACAGACCCCAATCTTCAATATTACTCACAACCAGTAAGAAATGGGTTGGAGTTTTTTTCTGACATATAGTTTGACCCCCTTGGCTAAGCATACCCCCTCCCACATCCATGCCCAAATCTTTACAGTACATGCAGGGCGAGTTAGGCATGATAAGTTACTAAGGTAAGCTACAATCTGCAAAGTGCTCCTCTGGCTGCTAGAAGGAAATCACCTACCTCCTCCTACTCCAGGTCCATATGTCATGATTTAGATGAAATATCCATCACAAGCACATACACTGGGGGCTTGGCTGCCAGCTACTGGTATTTGGGGGAAATGAGTGAGTCCTGAGACCTTTGACCTTAATGATGGATTCATCCTTTAATGGATTCATTGTATGATAGCATCACTGGGAGGCAGTAGAAGACGGGAGGTAGAGCTTAGTTGGGGGCAAGTAGGTCACTGGGGGCATGCCCTGGAAAGATGTATCTTGCTCCCTACTCTCTCTCTCTCTCTCTCTCTCTCTCTCTCTCTCTCTCTCTCTCTCTCTCTCTCTCTCCTTCCTGTATACCATGGGGTGAGCAGCCTCAGCTACACGCTCTTAACACTGTAGTATTCTGCCTTACCTCAGGCCTAACACAATGGATTCAATCAACCATTGACTTAGCCTCTGAAACCATGAGCCAAAATCAATAACTTCTCCCTTTTAAATTGTTTTCCTTGGGTATTTGTCACTACAACAGAAAGTTAACATAATACAAAAGGGACATTTCTAGCTTCCTAATACTGAGGGACAGTTAGTCTGGACCTGAATTATAGTTCTACCAACAAGAAGACAGTAGATAAATTGCCTTGTGTTTCTGAGCCTTGGAACCCACTTTACAAAACTCTTGTGAGCTCATAGGAAGTTCAGACACAGTCACTGAATTCCCCACTCCATGTGTGGCTCACAGGAGGCCTCAGTGAGTCCAACTCACCATCCTTTCTCCTGGGGGCTCACCTCAAGTGACCAGGTGTTACCTAGAACATGACAGATAGAGAAGTATTGAGAGACTGTCATAGCTCATTCCCTTCCAGGGCACATAGAAGCTGCCTTGCCATCTTCTCCTTGCTAAGTGTGACTTTCCACCTCAGGTCTGTCTAGAACAGACTCCTAAACCTTAGGCAGCAGGACACCCCTTCCTTCTGGCTCAGCTTCTGTCCCCATTGCCAAAGGACAGAGCTGCTCTGATCTAAGCCACATTTCTGTTTCAGAGTGACTAAAATGAGAAGCTGTGTGGGAAATGCAGTCTCTAATGAAAAAAAAAACTGGTTCATGACAGAAAAGTTGCAGAACTCTACACTTCCTGTCCATGTGTGTAATAGCCCTGGTGTGCCTCCATTTCTTCATCTGTAATATGGGATACCAAAATGATCCTTTCAATTGTGAGGGTGAAATCTGAGAAGACATATGAATGTCCCCCCTGAAAGAGGAGAACAATCCATATGTACTACTATCTTTTGTTCTCTTGTTTCCGAGACACCTCTCAAGCATGAATAGGCCTGGGTGGATCAGGAAAAGCAGTTTTATTTATTCTCAGTAAGTACAGTATTCTACCTCATCCTTTCTAATGCACAAAAGCAAGGTTATACGTTAATATTTATGCGGATACCTACAGATCAGTGATAGTCTCAAACTTAGCCAGAGAAGCTTCTTCCTGCAGTGGGCAGGAGTCAGTGTAGTGACTCATAAGTGGTCAGAGTGCTGAGAGCGCATACCTCAGGTGCATAGCACTAAATGGGACATCTTTTTGTTTGTTTTTGCCTTTTTTTTTTTGAGACAGGGTTCTCTGTGTAACCCTGGGACTCTCTTTGTAGACCAGGCTGGCCTTGAACCCACAGAGATCCTCCTGCCTCTGCCTCCCGGAGTGCTGAGATTAAAGGCGTGCACCACAACAACTACCTGGCAGTAAATGTGCCCCCACTCCAAGGCTCAAGGGACATCATGGAAGAGGGGGCAGAAAGAAGGAAAGAGCTGGAGGATAAGGAGGAGTCCTGTGAAATGCTGTCTTCTGGCTGTGACATGGGCACAACATTCAGGAAGGGCCATGGCATGGGCACATTCTTGAACTCCCTGCAGTTACGGTTAGTTGCCCAGCAACTGCACAAGAGTAACCGAACTAGACCAGTCAGCGTTCCAGTGGGCAGCCCCAGCTGGACTCACAGGGTTACAAACACGAAGAAAACATGTTTGAGGGTGTCCTGGGAGAGTGGGAGGGGTGAGTTGGGAGTGGGTAAGATCAAGATACATTATATATATATGAAGTTGTCAATGAATAAACAAAGCACTTTAAAAAAAGCAAGATCCTCCTCTTTCCACCTGAGCTGAGGGAGGCAGAAAGTTAAGGGTGGATCCCGGGGCTAAAGCCAAAGCTGTCTCCTTCCTAGCGTGTTGTGGGGAGTGCTCTTGGCAAGGTTCCCGGCGCAGTGCCGAAGGTGAAATCCATCACCAGTGCCGAGGACTGAGATTAGATAGGGAAAGTAAATCAAGGCTCCCCAGATAAGAAGACACAGCCTGGGGCCTGAAAAATGCAGCTCTCCTGCCAGCTGTCCACTTCTGCAAGCTGCAAAGCAAAAGTTAGGCGCAAAGCAGCTCAGACCCAGGCCCCCTCCTTGAAAAGCGGGAGGGAACTCTGTTCCCTCTAACCCCAGGCACATCTGGAAGGAGCAACAGGCATTTTTATTGGACTTTCTTACTTAGAAAACACACTCATGTGTGTGTGTGTGTGTGTGTGTGTGTGTGTGTGTGTGTGTGTGTGTGTAGAGAGAGAGAGAGAGAGAGAGAACAAGAGAGAGAGTGCATATCTGTTGGCATCAGAGGTTAAAAATAAAAGTTCAGGTTCAGGATCAGTCTAAAATCAAAACTTAATTCTAAATGCTTTTAATTTTTAAATTTTATTTCTCCTCCTTCCCAATGAAATAGATCAAACCTGAGCCTTTATCAGGACATGGATGGGCCATGCCTGTAATCCTAGCACTTTTGAGGCTTGGGAGGTAGCACCAGGAGAATCATAAATTTGAGACAGCATTGGCTACATAACAAGAGAATCTCAAAAACAAAACCAGTATTCAGGGCTGAACCAATGCTAGACAGATACTCTATCCCAGAGCTATGCCTCCATCTCTTACACTTTATATGTAATCATCAACCTGCTTCATCACGATAGGCATAATATAAATACTACTTTACGGAACTGTTTTGAAGACCAAACATGATCGTTTTTGTTGAGCACTTTGTAGAGTGGCACACAAAAAGCCCTTGGTCTTTTGAACCCTACTTAGACAGGAGAGCAGTAATGACTAAGAACACAGAAACCTCCTTAGCTTCCTCCTCGTCCCATTTGCATGGCCTTCTCTGGATGCTGCTCCCAGTGTACACATCTGCTCACGTCAGCCCCTCTTGTTGGACGCTATTGAGCAGTACATCTTTCCTTTGTCCCCTCTTTTATGAGTCACTGTCGTGAGTGTTTCCAAATACAAGAACTCTAGCTACCTCCAAAACGGCATGCGCACACCTGATGTTCTGAGAAGGGGGTGATAACAAAGAGGCGTTCTGACCAGAGGGTTCGGTTAAGAAGGAGAAGAAAATCACAGCAGCCACCTGAAGGCCAAGATGCTTCGAGAGAAGGGAGTGTCTAGGAAGACAGGGAAGAAAAGTAAAGAATGATCCAGGCAGGAGCTTCCTCAGATAGAGGGCTCTTTGCTGCTTCCCAGTCTTGCCTTCACCCTTCCTCTCCTTATCTCCATTAAGCCACAAACATTTCCTCTGTCTGTGGGGTTGGCGTGCAACAGTGGACGCTTATGCCGTGTCTCCTGTTCTAAAGTCGTCTACAATCTAACTAGAGAGGAAACAACCCAACCTGGGGTATCTGGGAGTCAGGGAACCTGCCTTCATTCCCTAAAACCTTCCATAGGGTTGAGATAGGCCCTGGACAAGTACTGAAAAGCTGGAAAGGGTAGACCATAGGGAGGCTGGACTGGCATGGTAGTCAAGAGAGGTCTGCATGGGAAAGATCATGAAGAATGCTGGCAAGAGGAGAGCCGTGCAGGCCAGACCAACAGCCAATTCAGGAGAGCATTCGCATGACACACCTTGGAGTCTGGGCTTAGCAGAAACTTTACGAGCTGAGCAACACTGGACAAGTCAGCTCTCCATCTGGGTGTATCGTTTGGAAGAATTGAGCCAAGTTTTGAGGTTTGTCCTGAAGCTATAGGGTGACAAGGAAGGCTACTTTATGCAAGTGTACGGGTTCCAGTGATTGGGAATGGGTGTGCCAGAGGGAGGGTCACTGCAAGAAAGAGGACATCTGGAGAGGAGAGAAGGGTTGCTTGGCAAAAATAGGGAGGGTTTGGGGGGGGGGTCGAGCCGTCTTCCTCCTTCTAGAGTTCCTTCTGCAGCGCGCTGGAGCTGGGAAGACCATGAAGAAAGTCAGAGCCACATGGGCTGACACCCTCCCTTAGTGGAAAGCAGACAGTGAGAGGCAGACAGCTACGATCAGGGAGTGACAGAACATGAGTGGATATACAAATAGACAAGATTAACTATCCCCATTGTATACACAAGAGGCTTTGCTAACACTCGGCCAATTAGAAAACTAATCTAAACAGCCACCGGCTTCCTGGCTCCTCTCAGAGCACTTTGAAACAGCTGTTCGCCTTGCACTTGCTGCTGGCCCAGCAAGTGCCAAGACTGCTTGGGGCTGGGTCCCACTTAAGCTTCAAGGGCTCCTCAAGAGCAAGGGATTGTGTCACTTGCATCCCCTGCATCCCTCTCAGGTTCTGCCGCTGTTACATGTAGTGTCCCTCCCAGGCCTATGGCTCCCAGAAGCCCAAGTCCAGGAGCCATTATGGCACTTTGCATGTTACTTGGCCATCCATCTGGGAGCCGTGCAACAAAGGCAGAATCCTTTGATGTCTGACAAGTCGAAGCACAGACAACTCAGTGTCTCAGCAATAAGATTCCCCTCCATGAAAGAGGATAATCGTGATACATGTAAATGATAGGGTTATAGCATGCATATATATGTATGTGTATGCACATGTATACAGTTCCTGACATTGTCAATAATCAATGTGTGGCATTTCCCATTTTCATAACTGCTATTCATATACTACTACTCCTTAACTGCAATTATTATTGAATGCCAGTAACCTGAGTGCCTGAGAATGAGGTAACCTCTAAAATAGTTAATTGTCTCCCTCTCTGTCTCTCTCTCTCTCTCTCTCTCTCTCTCTCTCTCTCTCTCTCTCTCTCTCTCTCTTTCTCTCTCTCTCACTCTCACTCTCTCTCTCTCTCTGGGCATTTACACCCTTCTGTGATCCCTCCCCTTGAGTGTGAGTGGCACCTGCAACATAACCAGCTATATGACAAGGACAGTGGCATATGATGTCCATCATCAGGCACTAGGTAACTCTAACTTCTACCCCTCTGTCTCTGTCTCACTGGTGCTGTTTCTCTGTGTCTCTGTCTCTGTCTCTCTCTCTGTCTCTCTCTTTCCATGTGTCTTTCTTTCTGTCTCTGTCTACCTCTCTCACTCTGTGTCTCTGTCTGTCTTCCTTCCTCCCCCCACCATTCTCAATTTGAATGCTCTAATGGAACAAGCTGCCATACTGGAGAGGCCCATGCAGTCAGGGCTGAGGGCAGCTTTGATCAACAGCAAGCTAAGGGCTGAGGTCTCTCAAAGCCCCGACTCTGCATCTGACCAGGTGACCTTAGACGTGGCTCTTTTCCCAGCTGAGGCCTGAGAGCCGACAGCGGCTCTGGACAAGGCTTTGATAACAGCATTGTGAGAAATCCTAAGGCACAGGACCTAGCTAAGCTATACCTAGACTCCTGAACCACAGAAATGGACAGCATCTGGGTCTTGTTTAAAACACTACTTGTTAAGCAGGGCATACTGGCAGACACCTACAACTTATGAGAGTTGCAAGCTGGAGACCAGCCTGGGCTGCATAATGAGGACCTGTCTCAAAAAAAAAAAATTCAGCTCGGTGACAGAATGTGCAAGGCCCTGGGCTCGGTGTGTGGACATGTATTCTAGTGATTTGTCTCACAGAGATGGGTAGCAAATGCAAGTTCTTTGTGTTCTTAGCAGAGCGTATGGCATATAGAAGTCACATTGAATGGATTGATGAGCAGATAAATGGATGAGTGAATGAGAAAGTGATAACAGGAAAAGGAACCCAGCCCCCCAAAAAAGGCCCAAACAGTCAGTTCCACAACAGGTCACCTTCTTAGCGCCCTCTGATCTTTGTCCTACTCTCACTTGTGACCCCAAGTCCCTGCCCCCCAGCTTAGTGCATTTAGTCATTCTTTGAATTTTTATTTTCCTCCCCTAAAGAAGAAAAAGAAATACAGCTCTCTCTAAAGTATCTGATCTGGGTGAACTGGAATGGCTTCTGATGGAAAGCAGTCTTGTCCAGAAAGGCTTTACCCACCCTGCTGAGGAATGTGGTTGCTGCAGATATTAAAACAGACCTGCCGGCGTCTGCACTGAGTGCGGAACCCTGCCAGAAATGACCTCAGCCGGCACAGCAGGCTCTTACCTATGGAAAGCTGCTGCTCTGGGCTGTGTCACAGCAGGTCTCCTTCCCTAAACCTTTCTCCTTTCTGGATTCCTCAGGCTAGACTCTCTACACCAGTGCCTGACAAACAACGTCCCTTGCAAGCCTAGAGTTCAGAGTCAGGAGCGCAGTTCTGTCAGGACTCCAAGAGGATGCTGTGAGGCTCATTGTCTGTAAGTGGCTTCGATTGAGGGATGTGGATGGAGCGGCTGACAGACCTTCATTTTCCTCCCCGTCTTCTCCCTTGAGAGTTCTGAGGGACTTTGTTCTGGTGGAGTACACTATAAGGGGCACCCTCCAGGAAAGGCCAGGACTCTTAAAGTGGCACTGGAAATCCTCATAGCGAAATCACTCCACCTTGAAGCCCAGCTTCCACCCTGGGCCTTGGGTTCACCCGGCTTCACTCAGTTCACATTGTCAAGTGTGAACACATCAAAGGGGACAACGTGGAGATTTGCATGTTACTAAATTTCCTAGCAGTCTCCACTGTAACATATCCCAGCCTCTGAACCCAACCCATCTCTTCACACTCCCAACAACTGTAACAGCTAAGCTTCGACCAACTCATCCTTGATGCAAAACACTCTTTATTTCTCACAAGAATCCGACAAAAGTTTTAGCCCCATTTAGCAAATGAAAACATGGCAGCTCATACTATGTTCTCCCATTTGCCCTTGTCTTCTTCCGTGGCGGCCTCTAGAGGAGCTGAGTTGCCTTGTGTAGAATAGACTGACAACCCCAGTCTGCAAGCCTGGGGACCTGGGTTTTAAGTTCTGGGCCTGGTACTAAGTTGACGTGTGACTTGGAGTAGTTTATTCCATTTGACTGGCAGAAGAGCAGAGGGAGGAAGGTTCATTTACAGTAAGTACATTTCAGCAGGAGGCAACCCACATGCAAATGAGATGTAAAGCCAGAGGCAAATGAGTCCTGCAGACTTGAGTCACCGGTGGTGGGGAAGCCCGGGGTTGTGGGTCAGGAGATTATGCTTAGGGTCCTGCTTTACCCTTTGTTCACTGTGTTACTGGGAAAACCTAGTTTCTCTGAGCCACCACTTTTTCATTCATTATAAGTGATGAAAGGGTTGAAGTTGATAAACGGATGACCTTTGGCGTCACTTCTCCATCCCAAGCATGATGCTTTGATTGAGTTTCCTCTTGGGAAAAGAGAGTTTTCCAACTCAGTGGGCAGTGCTTTGCTATTGTACAATCAATGCCATCTGGAGCTTAAGCAGGAAGTAAGGACCCCTTAGCCAACTCCTCTGAAGAGGCCAGAGAGCCCCGGGCCTCAACTCTATCCAATCATGCTCCTCCATTGCTGGCTCCTCCCCACCCCCAGCCTTCAACAGCATGTCACTGGGACCTCCTTAAGTTAAGAAGATGAGCTCCTAATGTCCTGTGTCCTTGACTGTCACCAGCCAGGGATTATTGCCCAAGTCAGTTACACTCCAGACAGACTGGCACTTGGCTGATCTCTTCCGGAAGTCTGGAAGCCTGGGCTGAAGGTTAGTCACAATCCCCAGTGCCCAAGGAGACCCAGGGGAGGCCTGCAGCTGCTCTCAGCTGTCGACTGAACAATGCAGACCCTGTCAGGTCCCCAGCTGAGCCCTCTTTCAGGGTTGTTCAGATTGCAGTATTAACTGGAGGCCACTCAGCTGCTTCCTGCTCCTTGAGCCCCGGCACAGATGCCTTAGCAGAGATGCTCAACTGGGTCTTCATCTAACCAGAGCCCCAGCAGCTGAAGGAATGAAAAGTTTCAGCATCATCTCATTACGTAAATCCAAAGGTCTCTCCCATTGCAAGGGACCCCAGGGGCCAAGAGCCCAAGGCCTGTATTTTCACACACATCAGCCAAACACAGAGTTGAAAGCATAGCTCAGTTTTCAGGAACCTTTAGGGGGTAATTTTATAGTTTCTTGGGTTATGACAGTGGTCTTCTAGTGAGTGTACCCCATCACTATGACTTGTTGAAAATACTTGTGCTAGTAAATGCCCACCACTTCAGCAAGGCATGCCCTGCTTGCCTATAGAGCTCAGCTGCCCCAAGCTTAAGCATCCTCTCCCATCTCCACAGCAAACCCCAATGCTCCCAGTGGCTGGTCTTCTAACTATTATCAGCCTCTACCCTAGCCCCCACCTCTCTCCAATACACCTGGGAGATCCTCCAGTGTGTAAGCTCCTTCTCCTCCTTCCCTTTGAACTGATGTGTTCTTGCTTCCTGACTATTGACTATCATGAAGTCCCACCTGGGAGCCAACCCTCTGGCTAAGGCCAATTTAGGGCTATGTGGGGGGAGTTGATTCCTATTACACAAACCATGTTTCCCAATGGCCCAGAGTAGAAATCCTGATCCTTGTGGCCACCGAGTCTACTCCAATCTCTTCTCTTGCAGGACTGGAGAATGGGCAGTACAATGAGGACCATGTCTAAGTGGCACTCAGACCTGGACACGTGTGGAATGGAGTGGCCAGGCACGGATGTGAATGGTCAGTGAAAACTAGACCATAAGCTAAGAGTCTAGCTCCATTCTCTGCAGCCTCCAGAGCAGGCTGGTTTCCTTAATGTCTTTCTCAAGTCCTAATGAAAACAAGTTGGAGCCGTGGCAGGGGCTGGAGCGGGGGCTGCAGAGTGGAGTTTATAGGCACTTGCATTTTCTCAACAGCATCCCTCTCACTCACACATTCTTCTACATTTTTCCCTTTTATTAATGTGGCATCCTTCCCAGGCCACTTTATGGGACCATGTGTGTTTCCACTTACGCCCTGATTGAGTTTGATGGCATCTCCCCCTATGAGGAGCCCTTAGATCTTGCTCAAGGCCTTCCTGCCTTGCCCTGCAGGGTCTCATCATTTCAGTTGCTCCAGGGCTCTTGTGCTCATCTCTCAACTCAGTCTCAAGCACCCCACAGGTTTCTCACCATGCCTCCACCTTGGGGTCTTACCTCATCTGGACCCCGAATAAGACAACCCAATTTGATGACTCACCCGAGTCTGCAATGACTCCTGGAACCTTGCCCAACAATCAGATCTGCCTCAGAGGATGAAAAGGAAGATTTGCTACAACTGAAGATTTTCAAAGGAATGTGCTTCGAGCCCTGAAGGCCATCGCCAAAGAGCAGCTCTGAGAGAACACAGATTTCCAAGGGGCCCGCTTTCAAAGGCATGGCATGCATTTTTGGAAAGTCAAGCTTTGGCGTGCTTATTCAAAAAGATATTCGCAGTGCCTGTAGCAACTCTCTGCACGCTGAGCTTTTCTGTCCTTGTCAGCTCCATTCCAGGAAGCAGGACTGAATCTGCTGCTCCCTTGCTCTCTTTATCCACCCCTATATGTGGATGGTTGCCCCATTTCACTCGGATATGAAGCGGCAGGCCTGGTGGCAGCCCTGTGATCTTTGAGAACATACTCTCTGGGAGCTGCAGTTCCACCTTTGTAAGCTGAGGAAAGGAATTCACACTCCTCGGAATGGTGAGAAGTAAAGCTGTGTCTGTTGGAGGCCTGGCATGGAGGCCCTGGCAAGTGTTAGGAGACTGTGACTATTACTAATATTAAACAATTAACCAATATCTACTGACATGTTTGTGAATTGCTTTTACTCTCTAATTGCCTACCTTGTTCCCTCTGACCTTTCTGGGAATGTTTGTGGGCGCCATCAGATCCCCTATTCCCTGTTCCAAAGAGAGAGTCTCTGGGCCATTTGGGAAGTGCAGCCCTGGGATCATTTTCCCAGTAGGCTCTGGAAGAGGCATTAACCCCACAATGCTTGATGTGGGAAGTTTTTACAGGTACTGTTCATCTGGAGGGCAGATGGAGCCTTGTTGCAAGATACACTTCTGTCTTCCAGATGGGAGAGTGCCTGGGAGTCCTGAGCTGGGACTAGCCTATCTCTTTTTGGAGCCAGTATGGGAATACACATGAGTCTGTGACCTCCTACTAAGCCCCTAGCATCCTTGAGCCAACTTACAGCTGGCTATGCCTTTGACCCCTGGAACTTATGTCCTGTCAACTATGTGATAATTTCCCCTCTACAGTCTTTCCAAAATTCTCTCTCTCTCTCTCTCTCTCTCTCTCTCTCTCTCTCTCTCTCTCTCTCTCTCTCTCTACACACACACACACACACACAAACAGTAATGATCATGCTGGCTGTTTCCCCATTGGGTGTATTTTTCCTTCATTATAGTGTTTCTCAAGGAATCGCATCATGACTCAGGGGGCTTCTAAAAATAGTTACCTCACGACATTTGAGTGGTTTTCCTGAAGGAAGATGGAGTTAAGCGGCAGTTGCTAGTGGCTGCATTGTCCTCCCTTGGTAATACACCATTAGATAGCATCAATCCCTAACTCCCTACCCCAGAAGTCTGATCTCTGCCTTAGCAAAGCAGGAGCATCCCTTGCCTCTCACTAGGATGTCAAGTCTTTCTTGAGATGAGCTTCTTTGGGGTCCTGTCCTAAAGTACCCCCTATCTCATCACTTCCAGTCAAAGTGCTTTTGGCCACAAGGGGCAGAAGCCTGTTCCCACAAGCACATATAGAATGTGATCATTGTAACAATAAAGTAATTTCAAACAAATGAGGTATCAGGTTTCAGTGTGGCTTTAAATTAAGTCCTTATTGATCATGCAAGTTTAATTTAGCTCCCTACCACTCAATGGCTACAGAGTTTGTGTTTTTATTATTTCAACTTCTTTTTTTTTAAAGACATGTTTTTCTCTATGTTACAGCTCTCACTGTCCTGGAACTTGCTTTGTAGATCAGACTGGTCTCAAACTCACAGAGATCTGCCTGCTTCTGCCTCCTGAGTACTGGGATTAAGTGTGGGTGTGGACCATCATTGCTTGGCATCACATTTTCAAGAGAGAAAAACAGAATAACTGTTTCTGGCCAGCACACTGACTGTGATTCAGGGTTGGAACACATGGTAAAAGTACATTTAAAGAGCCAGACAGATGGCTCAGTGGGTTGAGGCCCTACTGTTAAACCTCACAACGAGAGTCTTATCTTCAGAACCCACATGGTAGGAGTGAACCAACTCCCACAAGCTGTCCTCTGACCTCCACACAGACAAGTGATGGATGCGCATGTATATACATACATACTAAGTAAATAAATAAATGCAAGCACACGTTTAAGAGGCTGGAGATCTAGCTCACTACTTAAAAGCACTGGCAGCTTTTCCAAAGGATCCGGGTTTGGTCCTCAGCTCCTACATGGTGGCTCACAACCATCTATAATTCCAATTCCAGAGTATCTAACACCCTCTTTTGCTCTCCAAGGATACCAGGGATACACATGGTACACAGAGATACAAGCAGGCAAAGCACCCATACTCATAAAATAAAATGAAAATAAGTTATTTAAAAACACGTTTAAGATAGATGAGGCTGCCTGCGCAGTGCATGCAAGTGTAATCCTAGCGCCTGCTAAGTAGACGCAGAAGGATCAGGAGGTGGAAGACATACACCCAGCTACAAAGTGAGTTAGAAGTCAGCCTGGCTTCCGTGAGACCGTGTCTCAAAGACCCCCAAGCCCAAACCATACAAACCAAACTGCAGAACCTGAAAGTGAGTGTGGCAAGTGCTCTGAGGAGCAGCCTGTGGTGGCACCCACCCAGCGGTGTGTCTGGCAAACCCCCTTGCAGTTCAGGGCTCTGCTAAAGGGACCACTGTCGTTCATGCCCGGTGAACAGCCCATCTCAGTGGACACCAGGTTGGAGCCCCAACGCTGGCAACACACATCTCTGCTGAAGCAGCTGCACCTCACAGCACTCGGAGGGAAATGGTGATGTGTTCCCGGAAAAGCGCTTGCAGAGATGCCCTGTGAGAAGAGCATGGGGTGAGGAGGCCCTGGTCCAGCTCTAGCCTTAACCCACAGGATCGCCTGGGATTCACTCTTCTCCTTCAGAGTCTCAGATTTTCACAATATAAGAATACGGTTATTGTGAATGATTATTGATAGGATGTTTCCTAAGCCTGTATCTTTGTCCTTTCCCACCTGGCTCACACTCCGTGACATCCCAGAAATACATTAGTGCAGGGTTGTTTGCCCCATGCAACAAGGCCTCTGCCGGCTACCTCTCTCCTGTAACAACCCACCAGCCCCCACAATTGGTCCCTGTCAGAGGCTTTCCAGGGAAAAAGGGCAGGCTCTTTCTGGGGATGAAAACCCTCGCTCTCCAGCCACACCAGCGAGGGAAGGCTCATCTAACTGGACGGTGTCCAGGTAAACCGGGAAGAACAATGGGAACATGAAACAAAGACCTTGGGCAGGTGGGGACAGTCTGTGGAGCTAGAAAGAGACAGTGGAAAATGTTATGGGTTCCCAGGGAAGGGGCAGAGGAAACGGTTTGTGCCACTTGGCATGAAATGAATAACATTGAAGGACTGTGTAAAATGCCATACTAATCGGCACCTGTTCCTTTTGGAACCAGCCACGAGAGCCCATGGCATCCGAGGTTGAATCTGGTTTTGGGGCTTGCCAGGAGAGGAAGTATAATACATTAAGATCCACTCTGGTGCTGAAAGACGCACTGGCCCTACGTGGGATGCAGAAGAGGAAGGTGAGCTCAGCCTCCTCTGCCCTTTCCTGGCCTCAGATGCTCTGTCACACATTCCCAGTCCAGTCCCGGGGCAGATGGCTGAGAATTCTGCAGGGGCCTCTGAGTATACCCTTGGCTAATAGCCACATTCCAGAGCAGCATATGTTTCATCTCAAGCCCACAAGGTTTGTACTTCCAAGTGGAGCCAAAAAGAAAACCTTGGCCCAGGCTACACATTTCTTCAGAGAGGTGGGGGTCAGGGAGGCCCTCTGGGAGGCTGGAGCTCTTTTGTGAGGATATTTGCGTTTATGTGAAGCAAAGTCTCAAATCAGTGATAGCCTGGTTTCCTAATGCATATGCCCTCAAATCCTCAAAGAACCCACACGGATGCAGAGCTGCTCGCCCTTGCTCTTGTCCAAATGGCTCTCGTGCCCCCAGGCCCCACATTCCTGTGGCCCCTGGGTACCAGTTCCTCACCTTGGCCTGGATCTCTGAGCCTTTCAAAATGAACAACACACAGCCCAAGGGCTTTGGGGGGGGGCTGTAAATGGGGTCCTGGAACTCATCTGCACTGCTCTCTACCCTGAGATGTACACTCTACTGCCAAACCTTCACGGATCAGAGTAGAGACGACGACGAGAGAGCAGAGGTGGGGAAAGAGAAGGACAAGTGCTGGGGGGGGGGGGGCAGAAAGGGGCTGGGGAGACCTGGGCTGGAAGAGTGGGTCCCTTCGGGTGGGTCGTGATGCAGAGCAGGGATGGTGGGAGTCCTCAGCCTCTGGGGCTCTGCTCTGCAGCAAGCTCAGGGATTTCTGACAGCAAAGTAAACTGTGGTGTGCTGAGTTTACCCAGCTCCAATAAGCAGCATTTGGAGTGTTTAATGTTTCCTTCCCACTGTATCGGTTGACAGGCCCTGAGACGCAGCCGGCCCCTCTCTCTCTGTCTTTTGGGAAAGCAGGGGATGAGACGGTAGGTAGAGAGATGTCAGGAAAGCCAGCGTTGCTGACCCCAGTTTGGAGGCAAGCTGGAAAGATCTGCTCTCCTAAGGCCAGAAGTCCATGAAGAGGAAGAGCCTGAAAGGCAAGCTGATGCCTTCATCCCTTTCACCCAGGCTGGGGCTTGGTACCTACAACAGCTCTGACCCTGCACAGAGCACAGCCCAGCACACGGAGCCTTCTCCTTGTGTTCTTCATGAAACCCTGCCCCCATACAGTGTGCTCTGTGGATTGGTGTGGGGGGTGGGGGGACAGTGAGACCACAGAACAAATCAGGAAGCCCCCAGAGCACAGCACGAAATCACAAAATAAACTCGGTCTGGCAGGATGCCCAGTCCAGCGTACTCGTGGGTTCTGCACTGAGTGAGGGTGAATGCATGAGCCATGGGTGACAATAGCCACTATGCTTCTATCCAGGGAGACCCCCGGGGAAGAAGCTGTTGCTTCCCAGGGACATAGAGGACGAAGCTGAGATGGAAGGACCATCCAGTGAATGCAGGGGACAAAAGGGAGAGGACGCCGGAGGAGCGGGTGGCGTTTAGATGGCAAGGATGGAAAAGTCAGCAGAGGGTAGGCTATGAGGACAGGAAGGAGAAAGAGGAGGATGAGGAAGGACAAGGAGGAAGAGGGAAGGGGAGGTCAGGGCAGAGGCTGCATCTCTTGGCAACCGTTGCCCATCCCCATTGCACGTATGGAGAACTAGAGAATATTCTGGAACCATAGTACAAGAGCAAGTGACCCTGAGGTGAGGAACAGCAGGGACGGCGATGTCAACCATGCAGCAGCCAGGCCCATGAGCAGAAGAGAGGATCCCTACTGAGTGGCTGGCATGAAGAGGAAAGGACAGGATGACAGTAAGATCAAGATGTTCCTCTCAAGGTCTGGGAGTAGCAAGGCTAGGGGGGAAAAACTTTTTATTTTCATTTTTTTATTTTGAGGCAAGGCCCTGCTGTGTAGCCTAGTTGGGCTAGGAACTCACAGTTATCCTTCTGCTTCGGCCTCCCAAGTGCTGGATTTACAAGTATGTGCCGCCATGCTCAA